CACACACACACACACACACACACACACACACACACACACACACACACACACACACACACACACACACACACACACACACAAATACAAGCTCGCAAAGAAACGAAAGAAGCACACGTGAATAAAAAAAACGGGCTATCTCACCTTCAGTCATGATGGCACGGTCGTCCGACAGTCTCCACGTGACGCACAGCCCAAGCCTCAGCGGCCAACCATCACGATGCAGAGTCCAACCTCTAACGACAACAAATTCTCCCGGACATCGCCCCCAAACGTCGTGTGTGTGTGTGTGTGTGTGTGTGTTATCATCGCCCCCAAACGTTGCGTGTGTGTGTGTGTGTGTGTGTGTGCGTGTTTTCTGGGTAGGCGTGTTTGTGTGTGTTTTCTGTCTGGGCGTGTTTGTGTGTGAAAGTGTGTAGGTGCACTGGGTGGGTGGGTGTGTCTACGTAAGAACGAGAAGACGTTTAAATTCTCTGATTTCTTCCTCCCTTTGGGGTAGAGCCTTTCCCGCTTTTGAGATCGTCCTCGGGCGGCCCGTTTTCTGTTGGTCGCCCCCTCTCGCCACTCGGACTCACCGCTCACTCGGAGTCACTCCTATGCGCGACTTTGCTACTCTATGCTACGGTCGACTGTTTCCACTCTACTCTATCGTGGAGACACCCACCCCCACCCACACACACACTTTCACACACAAACACGCCCGCCAAGAGAACACACACAAACACGGCTACCCAGAGGAAGAAACCAGAAATTTTGAACGTCTTTTGGTGTGCGGGCAAGTTTGTTTATGTCACTAATCTGCAAAAAAAACCTCCCGCAAGGGAGATCCTACAGAGGGCAGCGCTATAGGCAATCTGGTGCTGCCATAGCGGACAGACTGTCTCCCTTTACAAAATAAGGGCACATTTTGCAAAGACAATGTCAAACTGGCCCTGCAGGCGGAGTTCAACAAAACGATGCGGAGGCACCCTGCCGACGCCCCCTGGCCAGCCTACCCTTGGTGAAGACACGGGAGCCATAAAAAGCCCTGTTGCAAGTGGACGACAAGACCCGAAGACTAGCGTTTGGCCCGCAACTAAAATCATGAGCTTCAGGGGGCAGTACTTAGGAAACCTGAGTAGGGGGGGAATGTATAGGTCAGGGGGTACAATAGGCTGCAGGGGAGTCAGAGGCACAAGAACGCAGAAATACAAAAAATACAAATCACATAGGGAGGGGAGTGGGGGAGTTTGAGGGAATAGAACAGAAGGACATGGCAGCATGGAAGGAACATCAGAAAGGAACATCAACAGCCAGTGACAACAGGATTAGCTAGTGAGGGGGCCTGAAAGGGCGGATGAGCATTGTAAGGGTAGCCTATAAGGACATAGAGAACAAGGGAGAACATACCTTATGCACCACGAGGGAGCAAAGGGAAAGAGACCGCATCCACTGCATGTAGGTAGGTATGCATAGCACAGGACAAGGAAAACGAGCATGATGAGAATCATTAAGCAGTGTATTACAAGGGGGGAGAAGGCAAACCTTACCTTAGACAGTACCATTGTCTACCGCGTGTGCACGGGGAACGCAGCCCTAAGGTGGCCAAAGCAATGAGACTAAGCACGCGTATGAGCAAG